ATTCCCATCCCCAAACTCACTCCCCAAAATGTCAAAGGTGAGAATGACTGGACAGGGGATCTGGAATTTCAACATAAGTTACCGGTCAAGAGGAAAAACAATACTATATCCATCCTCTAGCCAAGGAAAGTATTCCAAGCTTTAAAAAAACACGTAGCACAAATTATATCTATATATCTATATAGCTATATATAGATATATATATATCCCATGGACAGCCTGTTTCAGAACTTCTCAAATGCCTTCCTGTCTTGTTGTCACAATACAACCCTCCCTAGAGGTGTCAATCATAAAATAAATAATGACCACTCACCAGCAGTGAAAGTAACTTAACCAGTCCTGTCCTATTGCAACTGGGGTCCCTGTCAGCTCTTTAAATAGCTTCCTCTTGGCTTTTGCTGCAGCTCAGCCAGCTCTTGCCAGAACTGCGCACTAGGGCATACCTACTTACTGTCACCTCTGCCACTCACCAAGTTTCAGCAAACAGTGTTGATGCAGCACAGAGATTGCTGTTCTCTGTCCCAGAAGTAGCTGCATTTCAGTGGTGCTGCATGTGGGGAGTTAGGAAGATCCTTTGATGCTCTAGAAAGGAAAGATCATTGTTAGCAAAGGAGCAAAAACTGAACAATGTGCAATACGAAAAAAAAACCTGGATAAGTGAAAAAGGATGAAATGGTCCACATCTATCATGATGTGGAGCACTATAAAATTACAGAGGCACTGGATGCAACATTGTGTTAAAGCTGAATTAAGTTTTGCACTTAAAGCAGAAATTTGGCCTCTTTGATATGTATGAAGAATGTAGTGTGTCCTCCCAACTTACAGCACTTACTCCTAGAATACAGAGCTAATATTGAATAGCTTGGTTGGCTGAATCTTACTCATCATGGGTTCTGCCTTTAGCCCAAGAGTCAAGATGCTGGAGGTTTGATTTCCAGTTGTCTCTGGAGGAGTAAAATGTGAATTCTGAGCTGCTACATGCTTCTTAATGATTTTCAACCTAGAGGCATGGCACGAACAGCTTTCAAAGATTAATCTGTGTTCAAGCTGCATTAAGTTAGGAACACCTGGGATTCGCATTCATTTCCCCCTTAGATTCAGAACGAGATGTTTTTGTAATATTTGGAAACATTTCATGTAGTCTTCAACAGAAAAAAATCTTGCTAGAGATTACAAGAAACCCAAATACACCCTTGGTTCTCCATTGCAAGTTGCCCTGCTCTTTTGCTGAGCAATACTGACATCCCAAGCTTGTTTCAACAAAATGTTATACCCCGGCTCCTTTAATGCAATTCTGCATGGTCTTGTTAGTGTAGCTGGATTCTCTGCTAAACTGGTTCAGGCAAAATACAGTAAATACCACCTCAGATCTTCTTCTGGACAATGTAATATTCTACCTCTCATATGCTACATCCATATGCTACACCCTGCTTCCCAATCTCACTGCTGCTTACTCCTGATCCTATTATGGTACAACCTCCATGCCCCACATGGACACTTCAACCTGATCCTCAGCTTCAACATAGGCTCCCACTTCCAGGCTTCAGACTGTCTTCTACCTGATGCAATGACTGATCCAGTGTCTGCGACCATGGCGACCACAAAGGTGGTGTAAACCAGTGTTACTCAACCAGTGATACAAGTACCCTTAGAGGTACTCGAGAGAAGTATGGGGGATACGTCAACACAACTGAAATGTGGAGAAAACTGAATTTTTGTTTTAAGTTTTACAGCACTTTCTTATTTTTGTACTTTTTACACCCAAAAATTGTATCGCCTGCCTGGCTACGATTAAGTTGTTTAAACAAATGTGTTGCAATGGTAGAAAAAAAATGTCTGAAAACTGTAGGTACTGGGAGTAGTTATAATCTTCCTATTTTGAAAAAGGGGTGCTTTATAAAAAAAAAGGTTGAGAAACACTGGTGTAAACAAACCAAGGAAAAGCTGAGAAGCCGGAGTCTTTTAATGATTATGCATTCTTTTTCTGCAGTGCCCTTTCCACGCATCCAAGAAGGACTGCTCCCTGCCCTAACTAGCATACAGCCTTTGGAGAGAGAAATGTGGGGAGAAGGACTGGGTCCTGAGTTGGTCTAAATTAGCACAGCCCCACAGCCCACATATTCCCCCTCTGTGTAACTGTTCCTGGCTGACTTTAATATACCCGGGGTGAAATACTGACATCAGTGAGGATTGTGCCATTGGTTTTAATAGGACAAGGATTACGTCCCTGTTGGATCCCCTCCTCCCAGAAGCCTGGTTTACAGTGGGTGCAGTTTTCAGGCTCTTGTGAGGGTTCTAGCTGTAATGTCGGCAGGGGGCCTCAATGAAGCCTGGCTCCACCCCATCCATTATCCATGGTGATATCTAAATAAAACAAATCCGGGACTCCCGCAGCTCTTTCCTGTCCTCTCCAGAAGCCTGCCTCTGTGAAGGCAGGTTGACAGAATGCTGGCAAATGAGAGCAGGAAGGGAAGAGGCCAGTCCTGCCGATGGAGAACCTGGGTTCGCCGTCCATGCCCTACCCCGCCCACTGTGAATTCGTCACTTTATTTTAAATGCAAAAGGGGAGTGAGAGATTAATAAAAGGCCTTCGCAAAAGTGAGGAGGGTGATGATATCTGAGCGTTGTCAGATCATTCTGCCACCCCGTCCAGTCACTGTCACTGCAGCGTCGTTCCATATTTAGCTCCCAACAACTGTGCCTAGGTCTGGAACTCCCAGCTCCCTGTTTCCCCTCTCTCTCTCTCCTGTCTTTGCTGCCTGCGCAGGTCTCAAAAGTCTGCTTCCTCTCTTTCCTAGTGGTCTTAACCCAGTGCCCCAGCACCCGAGAGGATGGCTGAAAAAGAGGAGACGCCCGACAACACCCAGAATGGCGAGGAGCAGCCTGAAAATGCAGAGGAGGCTGAGGAGGAGAAGAAGAAGCAAGAGCTGGAGAAACTGCCGCCGTTTGAAATCGTGGAAGGGTAAGAGAGAGATCAGGGTGCTGAATTTAGATTTAAAGAGGCAGCAAGTGAGTGAAAGCCAGGGTGTGTCATTTCCACTTGGCTTCTCACGCAGTCTGTCCAGGGGGAGGTCTCTGCTTGAAGGTTTAATGTTGGTTAAATAAGAAGGAAATCTGGGGCCAGTGCTAGTCTGCAAAAGGATCATTGAAACTTTCTCCATGTTGTGCAGGCTGCAATTCTTCCTACGGCTGGACCTGTCACTGGGCAGAGTGTTTCACTGCCTTTGTATACAATAAATTCAAATCAGCTTGTCTTTAGCTTCATTTATGTTGTAATTGATGGGCCTGATTCTACCAACCCTAGCTTGCTGATACTGACAAGTGCCTTAATAGGGAAGTAGTCTTACTGGTTTCAGTGGGATGACTAGTCCAGAAAGGCACGGCTTAGTGTGAGAGTGGAAGAACTTGGCCATATTGAAATACTGTTTTCTTGAAGGGGTCTTGCTTACAAGTCTCTCTGTTGCTGGGTTAGGAAAAATACCAGCCCCTGCACGAATGGGGTGGGTTGAGAGGGGCATGCAAAGGAGATGATTTGCTTCAGTGGACTTGCAGGGCTGCTACAGAGGCCCAGTGAGAAGTACTGGATTATCCTTCTTGGGGACTATTCTCTGTCCATTACTATCCACAGGAGAGGGTAACTCTGGACAACAGTGGTGAAAGCTTACCTAACATACTCCCCTGCCCTGCAAACAATCTTCAAAAGACTCCCAATTATTGTCAGAAAGGCCAAAATATGTACAAAGCTCTCCAGTGTTAAGCAGTTGAGCAGCACCAGATGAGAGAGATTTTCATCCCTTGTACAGATTATAAATCGCAGCAAAATAGTGACATGGTAGCCACATTTTACAGGTTAAATGCTTAAAATTCAAGATTTTCCACTGGGTCTAATTAGCCACTGGTCTCCTGGAAGGCTGTTTGTTTTTAAATAGCAACATTCAGGACCCCAGAACACCTATTGCTCCTTCAATAATGGGACCCTACAATCAGCCCTGAAAAATACCCCCAGCGGTGTTGTGTCTGCACTATGGATACTGTGGGTTAGATTTTCAAATGAGCTCGGGGTCAGATTTTCTAGGGCTGAGTACCTATTACCCATTCAAAAGCGACAGCTTACATTTAGGCATCAAATCCTTAGCCAGCTTTCAAAGTGCTCAGCACAGTGCTGAATTTCTAACGAAAGAGGTGCCGGGGCTCAGGAAAGTGTTTTACATTCATAACTGATGCCACCAGCTTCAAGGTGCCAGGGCTATGAACTGCCAAGGCCTACCAGTGTGGGGCTCAGCCATGACATAAATTAAGCACTGACTCAGCGATTCCCATTGGGACCAGATTTTCCAAACAGCTCAGCACGTTGGACACAGAGGTGTTTTAGAAATCTGGACACTTATTTAGGAATCTGACTGGGCGATGAGCTCTCTGGAAAATCTGGCTCCAGTTGTGAGTGTTGAGCCTTTCTGCAAAGCACAGCCTGGAAGTGGATCGTTATAAGAGCTCAATACAATAAATCATACGGCTAATACAAGCATGGAATGATGATGAATTAATAGATGCATGATTATATATTAATCATACATGAGCGGAAAAGTGCAGCTAGGAAAATCCAATCTGCCATACTCAGCATTTCTAATATGTCTGTGTCTGTTCGATCTGAGCATACATAAAGTGTGGCTTAACTAGAAATATGACATTATAAAAATGTTATGATCTAGCCCTGTATTTATTCACTCCCAAGTTTGCCAAGCCCATGGACCCAATTAATAAATCAAAACATGATTCTTTCCAGCAGCCTTTAACAGAAACTTAAATCCAGGAACTGAATATCCAGCTGTTACAACATCACCAATAAGAAAGATTCTACAATCAGAATTTTAGCTGGCAATTCTGATTATGATGATGCATAAGACAGGTCTTTCTCCTCTAGTTGTGCTACCTCCCCTGGGCTAAAGTGAACTTTTTGTCCAAAAAAAAAAAAAATCAGCCAATGTGATTCAAAAACACACAGGCTACATCTACACTGGCATGATTTTGCACAAATACTTTTAACGCAAGAGTTTTTGCGTTAAAGTATTTGCGCAAGAGAGCGTCTACACTGGCATGTGCCTTTGCACAAGAAATGTGCTTTTGCGCAAAAGCATCCGTGCCAGTGTAGATGCTCTCTTGCACAAAAAAGTTCCGATGGCCATTTTAGCCATCGGGCTTTCTTGCACAAGAAATTAACGTTGCCTGGCTACACTGGCCTCTTTCACAAGAACAGTTGCACAAGAAGGCTTATCCCTGAGCAGGGGCGTCAAAGTATTTGCGCAAGAAGCACTGATTTCCTACGTTAGAACATCAGTGTTCTTGCACAAGTACTCACAGCCAGTGTAGACAGGTGGCAAGATTTTGCCAATGGTGGCAAGAATCTTGCCAATGTAGACACAGCCACAGCGAGCAAACATGTTGAGTAACAAGATGCCAATTTGCTTTGCTACTATGCTGACTATAATAGATGTTTTGATATAAATAATTACAGTAAATTGCTCCTTCATTAAATTCTAATACTTGTTTTTCTCTCTGGATTTCACTTGAGAATAATTTTGTTTTCTGTACTCACAACTGATTTGTAAAGTCTTCTGTCATTTTTGATGGTTTAAAAATAGTGGACCATGCTCTAGACTCCATTCTTCACTTTCTTGCCCTTGGTAGGATTTTCTTTAATGAGAGCAGGGCTGGGCTAATGCTAAGTGTCTCTGAAAATCCTAGCCAGTGTCATTATTTTCACCTGTGCAAAATGCATGCCAGGTGTAATGAGTGAGTGGACAGTGCTACCATTCTGATTGTACTCGTGAACTTACTGCATAAGGCACAAGGCAAGGGCCAATCCAGCTCTCTTGCCTCAACAATACTTTTTTATTTCAGTGAAGTTGCATGGCTGTTCCAGAGGCCCAGGGGGAAGTACTAGATTGCTCTACTTGGGAACTATCCTCTGTCTATAGGACAGGTAAACTCTGGACAAGAGTGGTGAAAGCTTCCCCAAGAAACACCTTCCCTAGCAGATCTCATCTCTGTTTTGGAGACTCTCTCTCAGGCTGAGATCACCAGACTTCTTTCAATCCTTGGCCTCTGTACAGAGACTGACAACAAACAGGACAATTGGCACCTGCTGTTATGGTGGCTTTAATGATGTGGAGCCTCCAATAGGAACTGAGCTAAATCATAAAACCCATTTCATAAAGGCTATTGGACTTGGTTACAGATACCATGCTTGGTGATTGCTTTGGGTCATTACTGACCTGTCTGAATGCATCTGAACTAGGAAGCTTTCACCCTTGCTTTCTGTCAGCTCAGAGCTTACCTAGATAGAAATACAAATGAATGAGGCCATGTCCTCTAGCTTCGCCTCTCACCCCTGAAAAGCTAGAATCTGGATATTGCTCAGTTGCAAAAGGAACTTGCTGTCCACCTTTGTAGATACTTGACTAAATGATGGGGCTGCTGCAGTATTTAACAGGCCTATCAGGCTGCAGCAGGAAATGTGACAATAGCTGGCAGTGATGAGATTGATCTGCATGTGAGGAACCAAGATCCAGAAGAGCAGAGGATGCAGCAGAACAGAAGTGACATGCATTGGAAGAGCTGGGGGAGCGTTCAGGGTTGAAATAGCAGGGATGCAACTGATCAGGACTGAGGTGCATTGGTAGAATTGCATAAAAAGCTCCCAGGACTTGACCAGAACACGCTCTCCCAAGTTGTGATGGAGGCAGAGCACCAATTACTAGGGGCTGCCACAGATCAGGGGAGAGCAGTAGAGGGCAACCTGCGGCCCATGGGCTGAATGCAGCCTATTGGAGTTCTGTGTTTGCCCCCCAAGACATTTTGTTTACTGTTGCCCATGCACGGCGAACTTGTTTCCATCTGCATAGTTTTTTTTCCTGCCAATATTGCTAATGTGACACACACGGAAAGCAAGGGCATGTGAAGTACGTGCTGATTGCACACGGCATTGGCTGTCAGAGCCGGGCACTCCCTCTGCATCCAATCAAAGTGCTGCAACGGTTCAATCCGCACCCCCTGCAAATTCTAGGTGCGCAAGCGCAGTGAGCAAAACTACTCTATCCTAGGAGACCAACTTGGTTATAACAATCTAGTGGCCCGCTGAGATGAAGGAGGGCCATTCGTGCAGCCCACTCACTAGCCTAGGTTGCCCATTGCTGGGGTAGAGAGCTATAGGCAGGGATTGTTTAGGCACAGTGTTAGAACCAGTTTCATGATAACGGTATGCACGACACTGGTGCTAGCAGTTTTTCATTTTCAGTATTAAACTCTACCCATTAGCTGTCAGGATGGACAGGACCTTTTAACTCCATTGAATGAGCCTGCTAATACTCTTTAAAGAGGAAATGTTTTGAGTTAATCTATCTATACATACCAGTATGTAGGTATTTAGACCTTACTAATCACTGAGCTATGTGAGGACTGCACCCAAAGATCTACCTTTTGCTGTCTGATGAGCTCCAGCAGAAGATAAGTCTATCTGGGATTATTATTGATGTGCTGGGCTACTAAGGGTGAGAAGTAGAAAAGCAAAGGGAGAAAACAGGTAGAGCATAGAGGACTTTCAAGACAAAATTGAAAAATCCAGCAAATTTACCCTAATGCTTAAAAAGTGCTCATATTAAGATACTGTGTTTGGAAGTCCTGGGACTGCAGATCGGAATCTGTTTCTTTTGGGTGTGATCCCAGTTTGGATTTTCTAGTTATTTATAAAATTTCAGCAGACAGCCAGTTATCCGGCTAATGAGAGAATTTACAACTCCAAATGCCCCAATGTGTGTGCTCAATTACACTGTGTACAGTTTAAGCATTTCAGTTGTCGGCCTTGGATTAGGGACATTTTATGATCCTGGCCAAGTGTTTGATGCTGCTATCTGTAGCTCCAAGAAGTCTGTACTTTGCAAGTGGGGGTGGCAACCCAACACGTAAGAACACTAAAACCCTTTTCACAATGTTACAGCCAGATTCAGCTCAGCTGCGTAAACTTCAAGGAATACAAGCTGATGCATTAATTTACACTACATTCTTCGGGGGTGGGGGGATGACGAGAATCGCTATAGCACAGACGTGCAGTAGCAAAATCTTCCCCTGCACCTGGATTGTCATAGGCTCCAGTCATGTCAGAGCAGTATGGGTCTACTATAGAGTTCTTGCACCATTGTCATCAATGAACCCCAATGCAGTTCTGTTTATTACTGAATGGCTGCTGCAGAACCAATGAAGGGAGCATGAAACATTGACTTTGTGCATAAGTGTGGGAAGTCGGGGTGCAGGAGATGCTCCAAGATTTTGCAACCCACATTGGGGTCCCTGCAGCCAGTCCGCAGGCCCTGTTGTCACCTGAGGTCCTGGCTGTTAGTGTCAGGGGGTATCGGCTGTCAGCCCCAGGGGCTTTGCTATTGCCCATGCGGTCCCAGCCGCTAGAGCTCCGCTCACACTTGGGGTTCTGATCCTTGGCCCTGTGACCAGAGTGCCATAGCCCTCCCCTTCAGCTGTGGTCCTAGCCTGAGGTGGTGAGGGGTATGGATGGAATAAGGTGAAGGTGGCTACATCTGAGCACCCCTACCCTAAAATTGTTCCCGGAGCACAACTTTTGTGTAGGCCCCATGTAACCAGAGACTACCACTCCTGGTTTCTATTGGTGGGTTTGGCCACTGATATTTTGTGTGATCTTGAAGCAAGAGCCCTTCTCTTTCCACATCTGTAAAATGGGCATAACATTTATACACCATCTTTCATTCAAAAATGGATACATAGGATCATCCTCACTTTACAACTGGGGAAACGGATGCCTAGAGAAAATTAATAACTTGTTCACTGCCACACAGTAACTTAGTGTCAAGGCAAGAACTAGAACCAATACCCTGCGAACCAGCCACTTCTTTACCCATTAGATCCCTTTATTTAGCTACTTCGGAGATGTATTATTTGTTAAGTTCTGTAGCCTCTTCAGATGAATGGTGCTATAGAAATTCAAAGTATCATACTTATTTATTATTGTAAGTATCTGAAATGCTGAAAGGTCAGACCACGTCCTGGCCAGGGTCCAAAGTACATGCAACCCAGGGTATACATTACTTTCTTTATTCCTGCTAAATCACTCACTGACTTCTGCAAGTCCTCTGACCAGGAGTTAGGGCCACTAACTCCAGATATTTAGATTACACACTTGTCCTGGAATATCCATTCTGCTCTGACAGAGATGGGTGTAAGTAGATTCCTTTTCATATATTACTACTCTCGGTACCCATGATGAGCATGGATTTCCAATATCTTAGCCAGACATGAACAATCTTGGACAGTCTCTTTAGCTTTGTTTACAGGTTTCTTTACTGGAAAGAAAGTGATCTACTATATAGTCCACATGGCTAGGAATATACATCTGGTTTAACATCACAGGTAATCCCAGTCAGCCTAGTTCATAATAGGTAAGAGAATTCCATGGAAGTAAGGTCTGATTGGAGGTCCTGATTTAAAGAACTCTGAAATCAATAGGAGTCTTTGCATTGACTTTGGATCCGGTTCTAGCAGATTAAATGACTCAATAAAAGATACAGCAGGGGTGAATTTGTGTAACTCCATTGAAGTCAGCAGACTTATATCACGGATGACTTTGCAGGAAACTATTATACCGGTTACATTTTAAAATAATATAATGTTTATTTCTTGTAAAATAATTTGTTGTGGCTTTGCAAACCTGCCTTTGAAACAAGAGGAGGAGGAGGACGGGTTGAACCTTTTCAATTTTAAAAGGAGTCATTAATTATCTCAGAGGTGAAGTCATGAAGTTCACTATTATCAAACAAATGTAAATTTCTTAAACTCAAGGAATAAGAGAGAAGGATGTTCACATACCATCATGCCTCCTTCGCATGGACTAAGTTATGGTCTGATGCTGCTACTAATGAAGTCAGTGGGAGTTTTGCCATTCACTTAAGGAAGGAGGTTAGGCCTTACTGAGATACCTGTAAATCTTCTTAGGATGAAGTATTGCTTAGATTAGGGAAATTTGCAACAAATTGTGTTAGTGTAAAGCAGACACAGAGCACAAGGGCAAATCAGAGCATGCAGTTGGACAGTGTAAGTACACTAGATGTCTGAACTGGTAAAACTGCATCGATGCAAACTTCCTTAGTCTAGATCTATACAATCCCTTGATCTTTTTGGCCCTTTCTTCTTTTGGTTTACCTACTCCTTGTGCTGAATGTGAGATACTCCAATAATGAATATAACGAGATTCCCAGGATGGATGTATCAAACATACCCCCAAAAAACTAGAAGAAAACAGTTCAGGACTGGGCACCTAAACTCCAAGATTCTATTCTGACCCATTTATCTATGTATTTATATGGCTAGATTATCTGAGTATCTTGATCACTAGAAGTATTTGATGACTAGATTATCTGAGTATCTTGTAACAATTAATTAATTTTTCATCCTCACAGCACCCATTTGGGGTAGTAGGTATAATCAATACCTAGTTGGCAGCTGCACAACTAAGGCACAGGGTAGAATAAGCAAGTTGCCCAACATCACACCAGAAGTCTGCGGCACAGCTGCAGAACTGAACCTAGGACTTCTGAGTTCCTGTCCAGTCCTCCAATTCTTCATTCCATTTCTGCCACTGATTGGTTGGGAAAACCTTGGGCAAGTCATGCAAATTCTTTGACTTGGTTTCCTCACCCTTTCAGGGTGGCAGAGAGGGTGAGGCTTGACTAATACTTGCAAAGATCTTTGGTCGAGAGTTGCTGTTTAAAGACTATGTTACTGTAGGATATTTTATAATACTTTGGAATTTCTCTTGCTCTCTCCCTTTCCACAGGGAGCGCTTCCCTGCCTTCTTTTTCAAATTCCAGTTTAGGAATGTGGAATACAGCTCAGGCAGGAATAAGACCTTCCTGTGTTACATTGTGGAAACCCAAGGCAAAGAGTCTGGGAGCTTTCGGGGTTACCTGGAGGATGAGCATGTAGCAGCCCATGCTGAAGGTGCTTTCTTCAACAACATCTTGCCCACATGCGAGCCCAGCCTTCGCTACAATGTCACCTGGTATGTCTCCTCCAGTCCCTGCGTGCCCTGCGCGGACCAGATAGCTCAGATACTGCAGAAGAACAAGAACCTGCGCCTCACCATCCTGGTCAGCCGTCTCTTCATGTGGGAGGAGCCGGAAATGCAGGCTGCTCTCAAGAAACTGAAGACAGCTGGATGTAAACTGAAGATTATGAAGCCTCAAGACTTTGAGTATATCTGGCAGAACTTTGTGGAGCAGGAAGAAGGAGAGGCAAAGGCCTTCGAGCCCTGGGAGGACATTCAGGAGAACTTTCTGTATTATGAAGAGAAGTTAGCTGAGGTTCTGCACTGAGGCGCATGTGAGTGAAGATTTCAGACTGCTCATTTACCTTCTTGCTTTAATGGAGGGTGGGGCAGACTCATCTCTGTTTTCGTATGTCTTAAGTCAGAAAGAGAGGCTTTTAAGGGTACTGACATTGCCATCTGTGACTCCAGCTCTGCCTAGATCTGACAATACGAGAGTATCATGAACTTCACCTTGCCCACTGCAACTAGCAATCCACTAGTGAGATCTTCCCCGCTGTAGAGAAGGGCTACTCAACATGCAGCCCACAGCCGTTTCTTTGCGGCCTGCGGTGCGGTTTGGATTTACATGGGGCTCAACATGCAGCCCACGGCCATTTCTTTGTGGCCTGCGGTGCGGTTTGGATTTACATGGGGCTCAACATGCAGCCCGCAGGTGGGAGCCAAAACAAAAAAGTAGTCAATATAATGGTCTTCTGTTGATATGCGTTTTAGTAGTTAAATTCCTGGACTGTCATTGCTCGTTAAAAGTGCTGTCATATGAATGGAAATCAGGTAAATATTGCATTTTATTAATATCAGCAGAACTGACTTAAATGGGACCCAAGTGTTGGGTAGTTTTGCCTTAGTCTCAGTATTCATGCCTGTCAGTGTCAATGAAGCTGTTTGCATATATATATTTGCATGTATATGCAACCACACTTAGGTTGCAGCTCTCGGCATCTACTGGGAGCATCACTGTGGTCCCTGGGGCTTCCAAAGTTGAGTAGCCCTGATGTAGAGACAAACTGAGCTGTTTTCCTTGCAGTGACTTGTCAGTACCTTCAGGAATTCAACCCCTCCTCTCCAATCACTTTTCATTAGTAAATAGAGGGGAGGGTCATTGGATATAGCAAGAATGCTCCGTTTCTAGGTGGGTGATGTTTCTAGATGAGTAAACTGGGAAGAGGAGGCAGTAGTGGTTCTAGTCCCATAGAAAAATATCCAAGGAGGGCAATATACAAAGATTGAAGAGTCCATAACTAATTTTTTTTAGCAACAAGCCCTGACACACTGGAAGCTGGCAACATCTTTCTCTTATCTCTACAGGGCCAGCTTGCAAGAGATCCCTCATCCAGTGGAGAGACGAAATATGACAGACTTGGACATCTAGGACATGCCTTCAGTTTTCCAGAGCTGCTTTGAGACACAAGCCTTTAGCAAACATGGCCCTGATGGACTAAGACTACATTTACAATGTAGCAGTTAGGCGTTTTGTTTTTTATTTTTAAAATAAACTTGCACTGTCTTTGTTAGCAGGACAAGAGAAAGCCATGTGCTCTGCTTAATGACATGAATATAGTGGGCTTACTAGGGCAGCATTAGCATTAAAACTCACCCCCTTAGATCATGGCTGAAAATTAGAGCAAAAGCAGCAAAGTCAGAATAGCTATTGAGCAAATGTATGACCTATAAATGCTAAGGACCTTTTTTTTAAAGACAAAAACCAAGTTGGTAAACAGAAATGCTCATGCTATAAAAACTGGAAGGGCAAAGGAGTTAAATCAGTAGCCATTGCAGAAACTCTCAGCTACTGTGATTTCCCCCCCCTTTCACATAAACATTTTCCAAACATGGGCATTTAATATAGTGGAGAAGAACTTACAACCCACCCATGTAATGTTTCACACTTGAGAAAGTACAATGCTATAGGAAGGGGGAATTCCCACATACAAAATAATTTCAAGAGCTAGCAAGAGAGTGAATGGAACAGATGGAAAAATCTGGTCCTGTGACAATGCCTACATGGAACAGGTGGAAAGATCATAGGGAGGCTGGTCAGCCAAGATGTTCAATCAGAGGGGGTTCACACTTCCAGCTTAATTTCTGACTCACCATAGTTTTTGTCCCAACAGCACCAAGCAAAATCGAAAGGAACAGCAGACCACAGGAATGTAAGAGATGAAAAAGACAAGGTATGGCCAAAAGTTTTACATCTGACTGTTCCACTGGCACCATACCCTAGTCTTAGCCTTCAACAGAAAGGATGCAAATAGCAGTAAGAAACCATCAGTGTGGAAAGCAGACAAAAATAGGTGTGCTGATTTTACTATTTGTGTTTGTTACCAGACTTAGAAAACAAATATAAACAAGATACAAAACCTAAATCCAGCACATATTTTTGGTATATATTTATGCTTGTTTACAGATTCGATATTCCAAATTTCTATGTGCTGAACTCAATCCTTTAAGAAATTCCCATGTTTGGCTATAGCAGTTATACACCAAAAACAACTTCACAAGGGACAAAATGGTGATCAGATACAGGCTTTGCATTTTTAAGGTGTTACAGATACACACATGAGAGCAGAAAGACAGAATCACCCAGTGCCAACCCCTCTGGCAAATTAAAGAGTAATTCATAATCTGTAAAGATGTGATAATTTTTGACTGAAAAGGAACAATATAACAACCTGAGGCCTTTAAAGATTAGAAAAAGGGATTTGCAAAGCTTCATCAAGTATGCAAAAGATCCCACACAAAACATTCTGTTAATAGCTTCTCAATAGAGAAGGGTTTCCATATATTACCATGAACAAAAAGATTATCTTTATTAAGGATTCTACTTTATGCTTGAATTCCTATACTTTGGTATTTAGTTACTATAGTAATGGGCATCCTAAAAGTAAATCAGATTAGTCACTGTGATGGGATTGGAAGTAAAGCATACTACAACTACTAAAGGTATATATGGCAGAGCAATTCAGCTTAAAGGTTCTAAAATCAGTAACATTATTATATTTGAACCAAATGCTGCAGAAAGAGACCTGGTATCTTACTTTAAGTATGTGGTGAAAAAATGCTCCAGCTGAAGTTTACTGACCACCACCAAGTAACAGACTACATTTTGGGGGTCTGCTGGATTCAATATGCTATTTATTATTTGTTCATTGCTGTTTAGCAATGGCAGAAGTAGAAAAAGAATGGCACGTAGCCCTCTCAATGACTAGCAGTCTATAAATAGACTAGATAAAAAGTAAAGAGGAAAACCAACTCATGCATTTAATAGTAACCCTTTTCATTTCACAGTAGCCTATTCATATGTGATCTCTCTTCAATGCTGACATTTGTACCAATTACATGGGGCAAAATGAACCTTCGCTCCACACATGTATGTTCCCTTGAGAAGTTTATCCTTACTATAGAAGGCAGACAGAAATGTGAACAAGAGTGGGGTTGATATAGTGGTTTGCACTCTAGTTCAATAACAAGAGTTAAAAGGTACACATTTGAAACTGGACAGCATGATGCTTGATACAGTCTTGATAAAAGCATGAAATCTCACGTTTTGAAAAGACATTTTATTTTTAATAACTCAAAGAACAGAGGAAATCTGCACTTCTGATCTGAGCACTATACTGCTTTAAATTAAACAGCAGACCTCTGCAATAATTTTCTTCATTATTTTGAAACACACTAAACAGATACATATAACTCTTAATTTCAAAGATATGGAATATTTTGTAAAGTGTCAAACTAGCTCAAATTTCCACACAAATGCACTAACATCCTAAGAAAAGATGACTTTACAGGCAAAAGGGCATTCGGTAGGGTGGAGGAACAGTGACATCTGGTGGTTGGCCATGTGACTCACAGGAGAGGATCCCTGAGGGATAAATATAACCTGGCAGGCTTACAGATACTTCTCTTCTGGAATTCTGATCAATATGTACAAAACCAGCCATTCTCTAGAAGTAACTGCCTGACATTGGGAAAAACCAAGACTTATTCCCAAACAGGAAGAGATGGGCTCTACTTCATGAACAGCTTTTTCTCTAAATCAATTCCCACAACATTTGAATCAATAGCATGGGAAATACACAATCATCTCTGTAAAGCCTCTCTGTTCAGAGAGTATAAACTGTGAGCTTAATGTCCGTGTCCTCAAACACTTCCTCAAGTATTGCTGAAACCTTATCCCATTCCAGACGGTCAAGTCCACATCCGATCCTGGAAAATAAAGACACCAAAGTGGCTATGATGAGCTGTTTCTGACTGAGTACAGTATAAAGCCCACAAACAAGTGCACAAAAAGAATGAGAAACAAGTGGATTAGAAAGTGCAAGTACCTTCTCAAAGGAAAAATACTGGATATTTTTAAAGGCATAGCAAGAACCAATGGAAGTGAAAACCACACAAGTTTGAATTAGAAATAAGCTGTTTTAAAAACAAACAAACCAAAGATAGTGAACATTCAATGGAAAGAACTTCCAGGGGAAGTGGTAGATTTCCATCTCTTCATGACTTCCAGTCAAGACTGGATGCTTTTCTGGAAGACATGCTTGAGTCAAGTCTGTTACTAGTCACAATAGAGGAATGACTGGGTAACATTTTTTGACCTGCGTTATACAGGAGGTCAGGCTATGATGCAATGGTCTCTTGTTGTTTTAAAAAGCTGAGAAGAATGGGAAGGTGAAATTGCTTCAATTACAACTCATTGCCTCAAGTGAAGGGAGAAAAAACACTTGTCTCAGATGGGTTGGGAAGGTATCCGATGACCCATATCATGCATTTCTCTGTGGGACTGCCAACTTACAACATAGTACGTTGAACAAAACAATAATAACCCACAATAGCTCCTGAGAGCTGCATTATCTTTAAACGCTGAATAAAGTTTCAACAGAATAAATTACTGCCTAGAACTTTGTCTATGCAACTGAGATTTCAAGATCCCTTTGAAAACAAGATCTCACATGACTGATGTGAAAAATAAGCAAATTTGATGCTAAAATGATTAGATGTAAGATATGAAACCAACTACTAGGGATGTAAAATCACATTTAACTGGTAAAACAGTTTAATGTAGTGTTTAACTGGTTAACCAATTAAAGGAGGGATGGGAGGGGGGGCTGCTCCAGCTCAACTGGGATGGGACCCCAGACCTGCTGTGGACAGAGGCTGCTCCAGATGGCTAGAGCAGTCCCTGTCCATGAGGTGTCCCCATAGGGCTGAAGCAGCCCTTCCTGTGGCAGGTAGGAAGCTACTCCAGCCCTCAGTGGCTTAATGGTTAACCTTTCACATCCCTCACAACTACTGGTGATCTGAGTAAGTCACAAGAACAAACATGTAGTGACAATTCATTTGGAGGTCTAGACTTACTAAGTAATTCAAAAGAATTCAGTACTTCACTAGGCTCTAGAATGCTCTGCCTTCAGAACACTACAACTTCACATTCTCCATTCTATCTGTATGCACCTAAAGAATGTAAATACAGCATATACTTTTCCAAAGGCACAATGATCTCCAGCAGTCTTCACATACTGCAGCAGTAAAAAAGGGGCAGAATTTCAGATTCCCTTGAGAGAGCCTGGAATCTCAACATGTTGCCCTCTAGCCTTTACAAACAATGTAGTATTTAAATGAGTGTATAATGTACAGCAGAACTGGGCCCTAATTAAAAATAAGATCCTCTCTCTCTCCATCCTAGTTCAGTTCCAGATTTGTTTTAAATTAATAATGGGAGTGGGGTTGTAGACAGACATATACAGGCTCTCAGTATTATGTTGTTGAATGACATGTGGTAATCCAGCTCCCATTATGTTGCAACTTGTGATATTTTAGCAGTCTCAAGCACTGTTCGAGCTACAATTGACACAGCACTAATGAAATGCATCTGAAATTAATGTATGAAATTAAAAATATGGAAATAATGAGGTTCTGCTGACCACGAAACTCCCTTTTGTTTGTGATCAGTTTTCAGTTGCACAACCCAAAGAATATAAAAATATTAAGAATGGCATCTGAACCTTTATTTTACAGTAAATGGTCACTTCCTAAAATGTCCATTCTGCCCAACGGACAATGAAATGTTTACTTTCTAATATCCAATTTTCTTACCTAGGCATGGAAATGTCAGTAACCCCGTTCTTCAAACAATGCATTTTCATGGCTTCTAAACTCTTCTGCATATTATCATATGTTGGTTTGTGGGAAAATTTCTTCTTTGTAATCTGAGTACAAATTAAACGATCAACAGTACATTAGCAACAAGGGAACATGTTATTTTCTAATAAAAAATACCTTCACTCTACCAAAATCCAGGCCACAAATTTATTGATCAGCTACCCTTTGGCATATGGTGACTTGAGTCAACCAGTTATTTCAAAATAAAATGGACAACCATTAGCATTTATCTAAACATTTAGCTGCAATTCTGTGCCACACGACACAAGAAGTCAGGATACTAAATACTGCATTTCTAAATGTCAATAATTAGGTTTGGAGGGAAAAAAACAGTTTTCCTTAAAAAAAATCCTGTTGAAAGATAAAATACTATCGCTCATTATTAAATACTGGGGTTATGTTTACATGTCTTTTACATAGATAATCTATATTTTGAATAATGATACTTTAACAGAAATTGTTGAAAGAAAACAAGTAGCTCCTGATTCAAAGGAAGTGTTTAAAGCATAACCACCGCTTTTGAAGCAGGAAGTAGAAATGCAGACACTTCTTACTGGAGCATTCCAGAGAGGCTTTTTCAGCTCAAAGTATAACAACCAGGGGTCCAGTTTTCATGACACCATCAGGATATGAGTCAAGGGGAATCTGTGTCTTAGAAGGTGATGAAATCATCCCAGGATTTAAAAAGTAAATTTTAGCAGTCAGCTCAGATAACTAAGGAAAGTCTCAAAATGCATGTATATTTATATGTTTGCATATTTTAAAGCAAATAATGAAGACAACCAGGTCAACAACCCTAGGAAGTATGTCCACTAAACAGCAAAACTAAGTGCTAGACATAATGAGCACTAAACAACAGACTGTAACGTACATGGATAAAATGTTCTATATAAATACATATAAATTACTTGTTAGTAGGAAGCTATCTTGAATTTAATTCTGAAAGAATAATTTATTTTGGTCTGTCCTCATAATCTATATCTTTATTGAAAAGGTTGAGATGTTTATTCAGTATCTAGAGAAAATCCTCTCTTCCAATCAATGCAAATGAAGAGGAGGTCTATTATGACAAACACCTAGCTTACATCCCTCTCTTACCAGGTAGTATATGTATCTGTCATCTCTTTTCAAAACGGCCACCTCCCCAGACTTCTTCTCTAAAATAGAAGTGAAATAGAATATTGACATTAATTTTGTTACAATTGTTATAATGTTACAATTCACTGCTGATTCTCCGAACTCCTGCTGATTAGATGAGTTCACAGATATTATGAAGAATTTTTTAAAACAAAATTATTTTTAAAAACAATGAAAAGATCAGAGACAGAAGTGTTTATTTTTCAGCTTGTTCACTCTGTGGAACAGAACTTTGTGTATAGTCATTTGCACCACTTTTCCAGGTTAATCAGTCAGTTTATCCTATTGTACTATAGATCTTTTATAAAGCAGCTGGGGAGAGGAAAAACATGGCAAACTAATTGCAAAATCATAAATATTAACATGACCCAGGAGGAGACATAAGGCTGAAGCCAATTTTAAAAAAAATCCTTCATTTTTTAATCGGACTAGATTTCAATCTGCTAGGATCTCTTATCAAAAGAAAAACCTCTCTAAATTTTGTACATAAATAAGCTTTATACTAGCTGTTGCTTGGCTTTGGGAAAAAAAATAAAAGTAAGTGATCAGTAAATCCTAAAAGCACAATTGGCACCTGTGCCCAACCATGCAATCACATATGCACACTTAACTTTGTGCATGAGTACAGTCAATACATGCTTTAAAGTTAAGCATGTGTGAATGTTCACCCAACTGAGGCCTTGGATTTTATCATACCCTATTTAAGTTCAGTGTCCTCACCACCTCCTGTAACATATTTAGCTCCTGCCCATCATGTCAGATGACATCTGTGTCCCAAAGTGCACAGCTAAGAGTACATCCATATGGTTAGAGTCTTGTGCAGATACAAATTTCTATCCGCAGATAGAAATCGGTATCCACTGAACCACAAGGCTCTACTTTCGATAATCATATCAGCCAAAACAACATGATGCCATGGCTCCAAGGAACCAGCGTCCTGCTGCTCCAAGGAACCAGCGTCCCACATAGGCAGCTCCTCCCAACTATGTGGCTGTGCCACGCCAAACCATTCCATGCAGTTGCCTCTGTATTCACGGACAAGGTCTGCTCCTGGACTAATGTTCTAAGTGACGTAAAGTGGGATGAAGACGGACAGCCGTTGGTGGGTAAAGAACAGGTTAGGAACTATTTAGAAAAGCTAAACGTACACAAATCCATGGGTCCGGACTTAATGCATCTGACGGTACTGAGGGAGTTGGCAAATGTCATTGAGGAGTCTTTGGCTATTATCTCTGAAAAGTCATGGAGATTAGGAGAGATCCCAGATGATTGGAAAAAGGCAAATGTAGTGCCCATCTTCAAAAAAGTGAAGAAGGATGATCCAGGGAACTATAGACCGGTCAGTCTTACCTTGGTTCCTGGAAAAATCATGGAAGGGATCCTTAAGGAATCCATTTTGAGGCACTTGGAAGAGAGGAAAGTGATCAGGAATAGTCAGCATGGATTCACAAAGGGCAAGACGTTCCTTACCAATCTGATTAGCTTCTTTGATGAGGTAACTGGCTCTGTGGACATGAGAAAGTCAGTGGATGTGATATACCTTGACTTTAGCAAGGCTTTTGATACGGTCTCCCACAATATTCTTGCCAGCAAGTTTAGGGAATGTGGATTGGATAAATGGATGGTAAGATGGATAGAAAGCTGGCTAGAAGAAAGCCCAGTGGGTAGTGATCAATGGCTCGATGTCAGGATGGCAGTCGGTTTCTAGCAGAGTGCCCCAAGGTTCGGTTCTAGGACCGGTTTTGTTCAATATCTTTATTAATGACCTGGATGAGGGTATGGATTGCACCCTCAGCACGTTTGCAGATGACACTAAGCTAAGGGGAGAGGTAGATATGCTTGAGGGCAGAGATAGGGTCCAGAGTGACTTAGACAAACTGGAGGATTGGGCCACAAGAAATCTGATGAGGTTCAACAAGGACAAGTGCAGAGACCTGCACTTGGTATGGAAGAATCCCAAGCATTGTTACAGGCTGGGGACCAATCAGATAAGTAGTAGTTCTGCAGAAAAGCACCTGGGAGTTACAGTGGATAAGAAGCTGGATATGAGTCAACAGTGTGCCCTTGTAGCCAAGAAGGCTAATGGCATATTAGGCTGCATTAAGAGAAGCATTGCCAGCAGATCCAGAGATGTCATTATTCCCCTTTATTCGGCTCTGGTGCGGCCACATGTGGAGTACTGTGTCCAGTTCTGGCTCCTCCCCACTACAAAAAGGATGTGGATGCATTGGAGAAGGTCCAGTGGAGGCCAACCAAAATGATTAGGGGGCTGGAGCATATGACCTACGAGGAGGGGCTGAGGGTGTTGGGTCTATTTAGTCTGCAGAAGAGAAGGTTGAGGGGGGATTTGACAGCAGCCTTCAACTTCCTGATGGGAGGTTCCAAAGAGGAAGGAGAAAGGCTGTTCTCAGCAGTGACGGATGGCAGAACAAAGAGCAATGGTCTCATGTTGTGGTGGGAAGGGTCCAGGTTGGATATTAGGAAAAACTATTTCACTAGGAGGGTGGTGAAGCACTGGAATGGGTTACCTAGGGAAGTAGTGGAGTCTCCATCCCTAGAGGTGTTTAAGTCTCGGCTTGACAATGCCCTGGCTGGGTTGATTTAGTTAGGATTGGTCCAGCCTAGAGCAGGGGGCTGGACTTGATGACCTTCTGAGGTCTCTTCCAGCTCTATGGTTCTATGATTCTATGAGTTGTGTCTCCTACTGAGGGTTGTGCAGCCCTTTGGGGATCATTGGTTGAATGCAATACAGTTGCCCAGCTGGGAGGAGTTGGCGCACAAGGCACTGGCTCTTGGGAGTGACTGCACCACGTTCTTCTCCTTTGGCCCAGTGGTTCAGAGGATACTGGTTTCTATATGCAGACAGAAATTTGTATCCATGCAGGGCTCTACACATGGCTTAATGTGGAAAGACTCTAAAGCCTGGTCTACACTGTAAAATTAGATTGAGTAGTTATGTCATTCAGTGGCATGAAAAACATACACCTCTGAGCACCATAATTAGGTTGACCTAACACCCAGCATCTTCCTTTGACCTCCTGGAGAGGAAGATTAGGTAAAGTGACGGAAATTCATCTTTCTGTGCTATAGGAATTATCAATGTTCGGTGCTCCAGTTGCAGCTCTGTAGCAGTGCAGCTGCAGCACCATAGTGTGAACAAACTCTCTGTTATCTTTTTTTATTGCCATTGCCCTCACATTGCTTTTTCAAATGTGTTGATGTCAGGCTAACCTGATCTTGCAATTAACTGACTACTGATAAATAAGGTTCCCTGAAAGCTGTGCGGTAGTGCAGCTGCTTAATGAGCCCAGCCCAGGGGCTGACCATGTAGGAGGCTGCCTGGCTGGGGGAAGGGCACTTCTCCCTTAGCTGCAGGAGCTCTAAACTGAGAAGGCGACTTCTCCCAGCCCATAAGGAGGAGACATCAGGAGGGAGGGACTAAGTGGCTGGAGGGAAGTGTGGGTCATCCCTATATTCCAGCTGGACTGTGGCTATATGGGATAGGTGGGGGAAATAACGGGCTGGGTACTGGTGTTGGTGGGGACTGAGTTGGTGGTGTATTTTCTGACTCCCAGCTGGGCCACTGCTGGTGCCTGCAACTCCAAGAGGCAGGACTCCCTTCCAGTCCCAGGCTGGACTGAGGCTGGAGGAATAGATTGGATGGGGATAGATGGGAGCAAGAGGGAGTTGGTGGGTGCTGGCATCTGTGCAGTGAGGTGGGGAGTTTTGGGACATTCTGACTTCAGCAAGAGTCAGAATCTCTCAGTCTCAGCACCACTGCCCATGCAGGAGAGAGAGAGACAGGATTCTCTCTTGGAATGGGATGGGAAGCAGGCTGCATAGGGAGGGAGGTGCCAAAATTTCAAGTGGGTTATGCCAGTATCCTGGAGAATGGAGGCATGTGGCTACATGGGAGATGGAGTGCTGGTGGGAAAAACTCTCATTGTCTCAATGCATCAGAGGGATCTTAGTCCAAGTTCTTCTTTTCTGTTGAAACTGGAACTAGGAGTGGTTGGTATTAATTACCAACTGATTGGTGACAATTACAAGATCTGAAATATGCCAGGAAAAACAGGATAAGGGGGAAAGAATGTAGCACCCTATTTTCCACAGTTAGACTTATAGAGCAAACACAAAACAGTGAATCCTCTGCAATTTTAGATCTAAATATTTTTCACCTAGAATCAGGAGGGAAAGACCATGGCCATTGTTTTTGGCCATGTTGAGTTTAACAGGTAGCCATCTGCCCAGAGATGTTAGAAAGCCTGGGCTAAAATTTAGTTTGGAGGGGGACAGATCCAGAGCAGAGAAATAGAGTTGAGAAAGTAGCAAGATCTTAATGCAGGATCTGACTCCACTTGTATTGGTGTTTTTCTATTGTAAAGCATTTAAGCTGCTTTTGTAGATAAGGATTCTTTTGTGAATACTGGCGCTCATGACACTTGTATGATTACATTTCAAACAAAGTTTACATGGGTGTTAATGGCTTAAAATAATCTTTTTCTTTCTTACCTTAACAGAACATTTTTGGAGTGTTGTAGATATGTGAAAATTCTGATCTTAATTTTTAAAAAAATCCTGTGTTTCTAATACATACACAGTAAATTGTTAAAACTAGAAGAACTTTACCATGATTCCTGTTTATTTGTTTTACCTTTCAGTTGGAGTTGTATTCCAGACAAGTGATTTCCATTTTTAGAATTTGCTTGAATAGAGGTATTGGTATTAAGACCAGGTCTTTGCTATTTGGTAGAGTTCTGGCTCTTATGAATCAATAGGGTAATCAGAAGTAGCAAGCACTAGGTGTGATGGTACATGTTTTGTAGGATAAAGATTTATAAGCTCTTTGAAACATGGATCTGTCTACAAAGCCAGAAGCCATGTGTTAATGTGATCTGGGCCTTCTTCTCTTTGAATTAGTTACACACAATGTGAAAGTTTCAAACCAAGAGAACTTTTATGTTTTTTTCAGGTGTCTGTTTCAGTTGCACGGCATGGATCCTAAACATGCCCTAGAGAAACTATAAACCTGAGTGAATGCCTCTTACTCTTCTTTCCAGTGTCAGTAAATATTAATATTTGCAAGGAGAGCACAACTTTATCTAGTTGTCTCAGATTTGTTTAGAATCTTAAAGCTGAGTTATGTGCCGATAATATGCATGCAAGAGGGACACCTTTGTGAACTGCAACGGTCTGTGGCATGCTAGAGTTTTGGCAGATGCTTCATTTTTTACGAGCAGCTTTAGTGGAAATTCTGAAGATTTAGTGGCCTATGGGAGTAGGTTCTTAAATTGGGGCTCCAGTGCATATTTTTTATGCTCTCACTTAATGGCCATGTCTGATGTATTTATATAGCTGTTTTCAGTCTTTTTGCTCCATTTTGATGTATTTACTAGCTTGGGGTGTTAAAAAGGATAATACATGTACTCCAAGGGTAGTGTTCATTTTCTTTTTATTTGATTTCATATTGAATAAACACCTTAAGCATTGCTCCTTAGTAACTGTCCCTTGTTTTAATATATTTTCTTCTTCCATACCTATGAACTGTTTAAAATATATATTTATATCTAGGTTTTTTTGTTTGTACTGGTGGTAACATCCACACAATCTCAATACTGGTCTTGCTCATAAGAAATTTCAACACACACAAAAAGAAAATTCAACCCACCCCAAAATGGAAAATGTTAGAGAGAACACTGCTCCTAAACCATGGCTGCAGGAGTACGAATTTATTCACATCAGTGAGCTGTGGCCTGTACCCCAGTAAAAATGGAAATTTCAAAGCTTAGTCTGGACAAATTTAAATACCAACATATACAGGTAGTTTGCTTCTCTATTCCTCTGCACTGTCTCTGTTTCCTCCAACTAGATATTAAGTACAAAACATTCTACTTGTGCTACAGTCACACAATCGTAAATGTAAACAAATGAGGGAGCATAAAAGTTGAGTTATTTATATACTATGGTAGCCCCCAGAAACCATGGTAAGAGTCAAGGCCTTGCTGTGTTAGGTACTATACAAGTGCAAAAGTGGATTACATCCCTGCCCTCAAATAGTTCACTGCATGTTTATAAAGATCCAGTATTCCCAGGCCTAGAATCAATGCCTAGATACTACTGTGAATGATAATACCTGAAACAGAGAATACAGTTAAAGAGGTTGGGATTTGCCCATGAGCTGTATTAGCCTACCCTCCCCAAATACAAAACTCACGCTGATCCAATAGGTCCTGTATGCCACCAAACTTTTTCTTAAATAGGACAGCTATCCCTGCGCCCATGCGACAGTCCTCACTGATGCAGTGAGCCAAAGAGTCCGTTTTGGGGCATGTAAAAAGGTCCCCCTTTATGTACCTGATCTGAAAAAGAAGAAATAGGAGCTGGATGCATGTGGACCACCTTCAACATGCACAATCACATACGAAAAAAATGGCATTAACCAAGGCACACTGTACACTGGCTACCCCTCTAAAGCTTTTAAAAAATATATAGTATTATTAGTTGCTGTGAGATGAGGAGATGAGCTGGAGTGGAAATAACAACCTACAGTATTTCTAACAGCAAACAAACAATAACCAAAAACAACAACCCTGTCAATTGTAAGATCTTATTGCTACCTTTTTGTAGCACATCTACAGTCTGCAACAATTTACTCATATCTATATAGTTAAACTAGTGCAAATTTCCTAAATGTCAGATTGCCACTTCCCCAAAAAAAAGCCATGCCCTGGAATCTAGTATTCTTACATTGCAACACTACAGCATGTACCAGTTGGAAAACTTTTATTAGGAGGACAGGAAGAAAATGTCACTCCTTCAGTTACGATAAAAACAGCAGTATTTAATAGCAGGAAACTGCACTAAACAGTTAATTTTCTACATACTCTGCCTGCCTGATCCCTGGAGGGGGTAGTGGCCATGGTAATGTGAAGCTATGTCCAGGATTTCTTCTGCTGCAAGAAGGTTAAAGAAAAGCAGCATGATTAGTAAGCTTTGGGTTAGCAGTAATTAGCACAAAGAGCTAGGCTGGACCACGTATGGGAGACCAGGATTCTGAGACGGGACCCTGCCCTGGGGAGATGTGCCACAAGGCGGGAGCATAACAAACAAGACAACCTCTCCCCCCCCCTCCCAAAAAAAAAAAAAAGGCTGCAGGAAGCAGGCTCCAGGTGCAGGGACCCTGCCTTGTGGGCAGGTGGCGCAGGACAGATATCCTGCCCCGCAGGGATTGGTCCTGCCTTGGGCAGGGGCTGGACTTGATGACCTGCTGAGGTCCCTTCCAGCCCTAGGACTCTATGAGGCAGGCCCACCCCAGGGCAGGCAGAAACCACAGGAGCCTGCTAGAGCCCTGGGCAAGGGGACCAGCTCCCCCTGCGGAAAGGGGGGAGGAGCACTGACTGCCCCCCCCAGCTACCCCTGCGGAGGGGGGGAGGGGCACTGGCTGCCCCCCCCAGCTACCCCTGCGGAGGGGGGGGGAGGA